GTACTCCTTCCCGTTTCTCTCGCTCCATTTGTGTTCTGAGTGCCATAGTGTTCACGTCGTGCTGCGTGATGTCCGTGAGGAGTGTTTTGGAAGCACGTCCTGCTCTTTTGGTGGTTGGCCGGGTTGTGCCGCCGCCGCTACCGTGTTCTGGAGTGCTGTGGGAGAGGGTAGTCTGTGCCCTCTCTTTCCCGGTAGGTGGTGCTCTGTGGAGCGGATGGCCTTCCTTGCTGCTCTCTGGATGAGTTGTGCCTTTCCTGCTCCTGTCTCCGAGTGGAGAGGGTAGTTGGGAGAGAGGTGGTTCTGCCTCAGCTCCCTCTGGTGGTCTTCGCTGGAGTCTCTGCCCCGCGATTTGCGTTTTTTGCCACTAGGTGGCGCTCTTCGGAGCCGTGTTCTCCCTTGCCGCCGTCTGAGTGCATTCTGTTCATCTGGTTTGCCTTCTCTTCTTCTCTGGTGCCCTCTGGGTGGTTCCTTCGCTTGACGAGTCATGTTACGACTTGCGGTTTTTCTTGTTTTGTTCGATGACTCATGGTGTCATGTTCTGCATATTCCGTTGATGCTTCAGTCATGCCTACGCTGGTTGACTTTCTCTGGCGCACTCTAGGTGACTCATTACAATTGGATAGCTCGTGTTACGGCTTGCGGTTTGCCTTGTTTTCCGTTCTGTGGTTAGTGATGTCATGTTGCTGAGTAATCACGTAGTCCGTGGTGCTTCAGTCACGCCTGTTTTGCTTGGTTCATATTTCGCCTTCTAGATGGCTCCTACAGTTCGGTAGCTCCTCTTACGGCTTGCGGTTTAGCTTTTTCGATTTGTGACGCATGATGTCATATTACTGCGTACTGCGTTACTGCTTGGGTCATGCCTGATTTTGCTTGGCTCTCTCTGGCGCGTTCTAGAGCTTTCCTTTGCTCGTACTCCGGTCCGTGGTTTGGCTTCTTTTCATTTTGCTTGGTCGTCCTATAGTATGGCTCATTTCTTTTTTCGAGATTCTTGCTTTTTTCTATGTTGTTTGCTGCTACGCCGTATCGTAGCGCTTTTCGCAATTTGCTCGCTGAGCTTTTCTCACTTTTTGTGTTGTTTCTGGATCTTGCGATGTCACTTTTTTTTTCGGCAAGATTTCGCGGTTTTGCAGAATCCTTGCTTTCCGTGTGTCCTCTTGCTGTGTGGTTCGCTGGTGCGTTGCTTCGTGGCCCTTTTCACGAGCTTTTCACTGAAGTGTTCCTCACTTTTGGGTGATTTTCCGATGTTGC